ATCATATTGCATTATTTTCCTATGGGTTTTGATATTCAGGTTTTAATTAAAAAGTCCTATATTACTTGATAACGACATGTATACTTGCGTAGTATCCCAATATATATAAATTGAAAAGTTAATTTCTTATTTACTTCAGGATCAAGTTTTGACTTTGTTGAAAAGTAAAGAAATATAAGTGAAAATATAATTAAAGTATTGTTATACTGTGCATTTAAGCAGTTATTGGGGATCAAGTTTTTGGTGTCATTACTGAAGATTAAAATCTTTAAGTAGTGGTGTCAACTTCACAAATCCTTACATATAAAAAATATCAGGATCAAGGACCCTGTCCATTGCTAGCATATCATCGAGATTTACCTCTTGAGCTTGTCTTCTAGAGGCATTGTAGTTTCTCATTGAGTCTTGCCTCTTAGGCTTGACTTTCAAAAGCATGTTGAAAGGAGAATCCATTAAGGATGTAAGACCAGTTCTAAGTTGTACAACCGGAGATGCTCGATGCTATTAACCCTAATGAACATAGTCATATGAAATCTACTGAGGTTGGTTGACCTATTCTAGGTTGTTGGTCGAAGCTTTTGCTTGACGACCGTAACCTGTTATGGAAGAGGTCGAAGGAAATTCACCAAAGATTTTTGATTTATCCGAGGTTGTATGCCGAAACTTTTACTTGACAACTATAGCCTAAAATGGAAGAGGTTGAATCTAGTCCCCTTGGGATCGATTAAGCGTAGAATGAGGTGTAAAAAATGCTCTGCGTTTCTTGAGACTATTGCATAGGTTGCAATGGACCGTATATTTTCTTAGAAATATAGTTGCAGTCATACTCAAGAAAAATATTTGACAACTTGTTAGTTGCTTCTTTTGAATCTTTTGCTTCCCCAGTGGGGGTATTTATGATACAAGCTTGTAAAACAACATAAGTATTGGGCCTTGAAGAGATCAACTTCCTAATCTAATTGAAGAGGAACTCCAGAATGATGAGGGGACACTAAAGAAGCATTTTATGCAGTTAAGAGTGCCCCAGCTTAGGAGAGATTCTCGAAGACTTGTAATCTGAATGAAAATTGGGATGACATCCCCACCATGGTCATGTTAGGGACGTTAAAATGAATGACCTTTTGAGACTGGAGTGAAGGTTTCCCCCCGCATTGAAGAATGCTTCGGAGATGATCTTCAAGATGTGGAGGTTCCTTCACCAGTTGAATGAAGTACTTCATTGGGAAAGGAAGTAAGGGCTCAGTGTCTGAGAGTTGAAGACAGCGCAGAGCGGGACTTCGTTTCCCACATACGATGTCAAACTGATGCGTGCTAGAAAATTTGTAGCGGTAGAGTAATGGATTATCGTCTTAGCGTTGCATGAGATTTCAATACACAGATAAAAGAAGATAAGTAAGGATGAGACACCTCAACTTTTTACATAGAAAATCATTGAAAATGGGAGAAAACCACGAGGCCTAACTTAGTTAAATAATCCAATATGAATGATGAATACATAGGTCAATACTTCTCCTAAATTAGGGAAGATGAGAATACAAAATTGTATAATTATAATCTAGCTGTAGTTCTTGGTGATAACAAGTTGCAAGAGGTCATTGCTAATTGTTGTTGAGATAGTAGTCCGTCGTGAGTGTTATAAATGGTTGCTCCAGAAACGTTGATTGACCAGTGAAGTCATAGTAAGCAGTTGCGGGAATTGTGGACCATGTAAGCCACAGTTGGCGAGTGTTAATGACTCCGTAGGCTGCGGGAGCCTGAGTCGGGAGCTGCATGAGTTGATGACCACATAGGTCCTTCGGGTGAGTATCTATGACGTCCGTAGGTTGTTGGGGCCGAACTCGGGAGCTGTATGAGTTGATGACCACGTAGGTCGTTGGGGCAATTATTGATAATGTTCGTAGACCATGGAAATGAAATTGAGAACTGCATGAGCTGATGAACACATATGTCGCAAGTGACACATGGAACATAGTGATGAGCTCTTGTCTCACAGACGGAAGAGAGTTACTAGATTTTTCAAGTTATGATGTTGACTGATGGTGTCCGATTGGTGGTGGTTGATGACAATTGACATTGGACGACGGAGGACGACTGTGGTCGACAACGATTGGCGGTGGTCGATGACGGTCGACAGACGGTGATTGGTGAGGGTTGGTGGCGGTCAGCGGTGATGCTGAGCTGCATCTCCTTCTCAAAGCCTCAAGTTCTCTCCCAAGGCTTGAGTTCTCCCTCACGTGAGGGGTGGGGGTCTATTTATAGTATTTTGGGTGCAATTAATGCAGAAATATAAACTATTTTGATTGGACGGTCTGGAGAGCTCCCTCCAATCAAACAACATTTAATGGACATTTGAGTGTCTTAACGATGTCAGAATTAAACAATCTTGTGCTCATTGGATTCGTCTTGTTGAGTCACTCGAATCGACTATGAATTCGCCACATTCGACATCCATTTGACTTTTAAAATGTGTCTAGAAGTTTTTCAAGGGTGGTTTAATGATTTGATTTTAGCTTGACTTGACTCGGATTAGACTAGTTTTTATATCGCTGGGTTCGTCTCATCGAGACGTTCAGCTTGATTATAAGTTATCTAAAATCGAAGCTTTGCATGACACTTAATTGAAGTTTGAATGTTTCTTTCTAAAAAAGTGTCTCCAGATTCGGGTCGGATGATGAAAATTTGTTGGTGCGGTATCAAAAACAAATTATGTATAAAGTAAATTAACAATATTAATTCTATTTAAAACTTAATATTTAAATTTATATTATAGTTATATATTTAAATTAGATTATTTATATCATCATTTAATTTTTCAACAAGTGAAATATATCTTAGCATGCACAAACAAGGTGGTAGGTAAAAACGGTCGACAAAAGGCTGAAATATATGCATAAACGAGTTATATATTTGAATACTACCGCGAATAACACTGTGAATAACATCAGAATAAATGGCTGACAAAAGACGCAAATAATGCCGCGAAAAACACCGCAATAACACATGAATACTGCCATAAATAACATCACAAAACACCACAAATCAAGGACTTGCAAAAAACACGAATAATACCGTGAGTAACACCGCAATAACTCCTGAATACTATCCCGAAAAACACCGCAAAGAACAATACAATAACACTTGAACACTACTGTGAATAACACCGCGAATAATATCAAAAATCAACTGCTGACAAAAAGCATTAATAATACTGCGAATAACACCAGATACACTACCATAGGGATGGCAGAGCCGAAAACAATTTTCTCCGAATGTCGGGCGTGTAATATAGAAGGAAATCAGCCTATCCCGCAACGCAGTGAAGACGGAGAAAACAAACACCAATGTTGGCGTTTTGAAAACGCTCCGCAGCTGTTCTACGGTGTCAAACATGCCCTTAGTTTCATTTGAATTTAGGTTTAACTCTAATTTGATTGTTGGTTATTTTTTTGCCTTGTTTGAATTTAGTGTTGTTTTTAATTTCATTAGGATTGGTTTGATTAGTTTTAGATTAGAATCAGGTATTAGCTTCAGGTTATATTTGATTGGTTTTAGGTTTTGTTCGCATTTAACTTCAAATGGATCATGATTTTTTGTTTGAGTCAGTTTCAATTAGATTTTAATGTTTAATTAAGATGGAGTTTAAGTTAAAGTGTGACAGGAAAAAGAGCCTTGGATTCAAGTTAAATGGGATTAAATAAATCGGATCCATCCGAATTTTTTAAATCTAAAAGTATTAAATGCATAAAGTTATTTGGCCCAGTTATCACTAATTTCAATTAAATTTTCTCAAGAAACACGATATAAAGTATATCCTTAAATTCAAGCTCTATATCAGGAAAAAATATTACATCAGTGCTACGCACGTAGAGTAACATGCGTAGCCAATGAAATAATGCCATAACACCCTGCGCGATAGAGAAAAAAAACGGCGCAGTAACACTGGGAATATTCCCCCTGTGTTATTCATGTGTTATTGTATATTATTCATGTGTTATTGTGTCCTAGGAATACTCCTGGTGTTATAATAACACAATAACACATCAATAACACATGAATAACACACAATAACACATGAATGACACGGGGAAGAATATTTCTCGTGTTACTGCGCCGTTTTTTCTCCGTCGGGAATATTCCCCGTGTTATTCAAGTGTTATTGTGCGTTATTCATGTGTTATTGTATCCGTGTTATTGTATCCGTGTTATAATAACACAATAACACATCAATAACACGTAATAACACAATAATACATGAATATAATACATGAATAACATGGGGGAGAATATTTCACGTATTACTGCGCCGTTTTTTTCCCTGTCACGCGTGGCATGATTTTATTGGCTACACACGGTATTTCTACATGTGTAGTACTGATGTAATATTTTTTTATTTTTTCCTATATCAGATTTATCAAATACCGAATAAACATTGTTGATCCGAGAATTTAGGTTTTTTTTAGGTGCGTTGTTGCCTTATTTAAACGTAAATTCAGTTATTCAGCCTTAAATCCTCGTGTTCCCGTAGGAAAAATATTATATCAGGACTCTGAACGCAGAGTTATGTTCAGATTGTAATAGTTAGGAATATTTTGCTGTATTATAAGAATATTTCATCTGCGTTATTTGTAAAAAATAAAGTGTTATTCGAGTATAATATGATGTTATTCAATTATTTTGCAGTGTTTTAGAATACTCCCTCGCGTTATTTGTTTAGGGTTGTTATTTAGCATATTCTCCGTATTATTTCAATTTCCACTATGTTATTAGAATAACACAACCCCAAATCAAGTAGCGCGGGGGAATATTTCACTAACATTTCAGCTCCAAATCAAAATAACACAGATAATATTCTAATAATACCGTAAATTAATCGAATAACATCATATAATACTCAAATATCACTTCATTTTTTATAAATAATTTAAATAAAATATTTCTATAACAAAACATAATATTACTAACTATTGTAATCGGAATATACCTATTCGTTGGGAGTCATCATCAGAGATTTTCCCCGTAACATGTGTCATGTGTTGGAAAATTTTGCAATCCGAACAGTTGTTGGCGCATGGGGTTGACGCCTGACGGCAAGAACTGGAAAATGGAGTCAGCGGCTAAACTGTTGGAAATTTTTGAGAAGACGTAAGATTTTAAGTAAGATTACCCGGCATCATTCAGCTATAAATTGTTAACCTTCTTCAAAAATTTAGGGCACAGAAATCCAAATCCAAACTGCAGGATAAGGGAAGAAGGGGATAGATATGGAGGAGTCCATCCCGTCTGCACTAACTTGCAGCAATCTTCCTCCCCAGCTCTCCTCCTTCGTCAATGCCTTCGTCGACTTCTGCGTGAGCGGCCTCTTCTTTCCCAATTCGAAACCTAACACCCTTTCTAATCCCATTCCCGTGCTCTCCACGCACTTCCCCGCGCCCTCCCGCCTCGTCGCTATCGGCGATCTCCACGGAGATTATCCCAAATCCTTACAAGCCCTTGCGCTCGCCGGCCTCATTGATCCTTTCTCTTTCCGCTGGACCGGCGGCACCACCGTCGCCGTTCAGGTCGGCGACGTCCTCGACCGCGGTGGCGATGAGATCCGCCTCCTGTACCTTCTCCAACGCCTCAAACTCGACGCCGCCCATGCCGGTGGCGAGCTTCTCACCATCCTCGGCAACCACGAGGTCATGAATATAGACGGCGATTTCCGCTATGTCACCCCGGAGGGACTCGACGAGTTCAAGCAATGGGGCCGATGGTTCCGCGTTGGTCTTTCCATGAAACGCCTCTGCTCGGATCTCGAAAAACCGATTGATCCTTTCAGAGGAATCCCCATGTCTTTCCCCGGCGTGAAAAGGGAGTTTTGGGAGGGGTTTCGATCGAGAATCGCCGCCCTCCGACCCGACGGCGTCCTCTCCCGTCGGTTCCTAGCCGACAATCCGACGGTCGCGGTGGTCGGAGATTCGGTTTTCGTTCATGGAGGACTGTTGCAGCGGCATGTCGAGTATGGCTTGGAAAGGATCAACGAAGATGCTAGGGATTGGATCTGCGGCTTGAATGGGAGGTTATCTCCTAAAAACATGAGAGGCAGAGATAGTGTGGTTTGGTTGAGGAGGTTCTCTGAGGGTTTTAACTGTGATTGCCAGCATCTTGAAGGTGTTCTTTCCATGATTCCAGGAGTGAGGAGGATGGTGATGGGGCATACTATACAGGAACAAGGGATTAATGCTGTCTGCGAGAACAGAGCCATTAGGATAGATGTTGGGTTATCCAAAGGATGTTCAAATGGATTGCCTGAGGTGCTTGAGATCAATGGCGGCTTAAACATGAGAGTGATTACTGCAAACTCATTGTATGATTACAGAGGGAAGGTGCCTGAGGTGAGGGAAGGAGAAAGACATGGGCTTGCTTTGCTGCTAAGTGAAAGCAGATTGAAAGAAGTGGAAGCTGCTGCTTAGGCAACAGCTTATATGGCTAACAAATCATGTTCTCTTGTTCATAATTTCAGTAGATTTAAAAGGTGATTGAAATTTCTCTGCTGAGCAGATTTTGCATTAGAATTAAATGAAATATGGTTCTCAATAGGACACAATGGAGAAAAAGGATTCATGTAGCCGACCCCACTTAGTGGGATAGCGTCTTGTTGTTGTTGTTGTTGTTGTTGTTGTTGAGCAGATTTTGCATTAGAACTTTAATGGAGTAGATTGGTTAAATGGGAGCTGGCTTAGATGTTGCTAGGGCATGTTTATATTTGCTTTGTTGGTTCCAGGTGATGACTTTCTGTAAATTTGGATTTTAGGCTTCTTGGCTGCAATTATGATTTAATTTCAGCAGTATTTAGTAAAATCCTGTAATTCTTCTTTATGGATTTATTATTAGCTTAAACTCGAAGGAAAGTGGGATTTAAAAAGGTACTAGAATTTATGATTTGGTGAGATTTGGAGTACATCATGGCTAAATGTTGCAGGCAACAGTCATTAATATGTACCTTTTTGCAAATTTATGATAATGATGGTTTGATAAATTCAGTGTACAAGCTTATTCATATTAGGATTTACAATTTTTATAATTTGGTTAACAAGCTTTTCTATTGATGTAGGTTTGCATATATTTTTAAATACTAAAGCATGTGAATGAGACCTGGTAAATAAGCTCGGTGTATTGTTTGCTTTTTTATGATTCCTTGTTTCTTCTTTTTATTCTCTCTCTCTCTCTCTCTTTCTCTTATTTTATTATTTCTTTCTCACCCTCTTTTGTTTAGCTAGTACAAAACTCTAATATGTGGAGGAACCTTGCAAGCAAATTTTCCCTGTTGTTCTTTATTTGATTTCAAAGGAGGAAACAAAGGTCATAATATATGCTTAATATTCTTCTTTAACTCGTCGATCTTCTGATGATCCTATTATGAAAGTAGATGTTTTAGATTCGACTTATGTTAAGAAAGGCAGAGGTAGACCTAGGAAGGCATGGGCTTATTGTATTAAAAATGATCTTAATTTACTAGAACTAGAACTAAATGAAAATATGACACTAAATAGGACGCAATGGAGAAAAAGGATTCATGTAGCCGACCCCACGTAGTGGTATTAAGGCTCTGTTGTTGTTGTTGTTGTTGTTGTATTCTTCTTTAACTCGTCCTCATTCACTTTGCTAACTGCTAGTAGTGAGAAATTTCATGTTTGCAAAACTCATCCATGACATCTAATAATTATGGAAGTTTTGATATATCAAATCTGTTATGTAGATAACGAAGGCATGTGGAGTTGTAATGGAACTTGGAGGATCGAGTTTAAAGGGTATTTGCATACATATCATATAATATTTTTGTATTTACAAATCTAACACCTGTATTTTAATACTTGTTTGTTTAATAATTTTGTGTCATGACCATATCAAGTATATGCATGAGAAGGTGTATTTTACTTGAAAAAATTAAGAGTACCCATATTTTTTTATGTGATGTTAAGAATTTAAGAATTACATAGATAAATATCAAAATGTAGATGCTAGATATATTAATACATAAGAATTGTATGTATGGAAATGGCCTTAAAGTTAACTATTTCAAAGGGGTTTGGGCCACCAGACTGCTTTCTGGGAAAAATTTAGCGTAGGCCAAGACATCATTGTCTAGAAACTTTGAAAATCATGGCAATGCCACGCTGATCTACTTGTTTGGTAATAAGAAACAATTAAAGTGAGTATGGTAATTATGAAATTGAAAAGACGCACGAGGGGTGGCGGGGTGGGTTTATCAAAGGGGCATTTACATACATACCATCCAATTTCTATGTATTTGCATATCTATCACTTAGAATTTATTTTTCTTAGAATTTATTTTTGACATTTCTCTCACCTAATGTTTGTTTTTAACAATTATACTATCTAAATCTCTCATATGACATCAAAAATATCTTCATTTTAAGTTTTAAAAAGTGAAATACCCATTTTCATGCATAAGAAGTTGGCATGTATGCAAAAATTGAAGTTAAGGATTTAGAGGTTCTTAATGTTCTTAGCATCTTCTCATTGAACTACACTAACTTGATTTCAATTTTGTTGAAAGTAAGCTTTGTTGATCCAAAAATCAATTTACTTGTGGGGTTTTATATCTAAAAATTATATCAGTTTTTGTCTTTGATCATGTGACTATTCTCACAATGCCTTCCGTGTGCTCCTACTTTCAAGCTTCACAATGTAGAAGCATTAAGCCATTTCTTATCTCCAAAAATTGGAAGTAAATATATAGGTAAATTCTAAGGCGTTATCATTCTGATATGTTGATAATTTGGTAATTAATATTATTTGCATTTGTATATATGAAATTGTACTTTTGATGAAGGTTTTTGTGTTGATTATGTAGGTTGCAGGAAGTAATGAAAAACAGGAATCAAAATAGAACTTAATGGAAATTGGGGAAAAGTTCGGCTATTGGGCGCCTAGGCACTTGAATATTGGCGCTTAGGCGCCAGAACCTGTTCATAATTCAGCTACAACCCGAGAGCATGACACCATGGCACTAGCCCCTGGGCGCTTAGGCGCCGCGATACTGTCACTTATGTGTTGCATAATTGGGCGCTTAGGCGCCCAATAGACAGTTCTAAATAGAGAGTTTGGTGCTTAGGTGCCAGCTCCTGGGCACATTGGCGCCCAAATTGAATTCAGCGGTTGGAGCAGTTCGAAGTTTTAGTTCATAAGGAAATCGTGGAAAACATTGGTAGGAATGTATAAAAAGCAATGAAACGAAGTGGGAAGGGGATGTTGCTAGCTTGAGGCTTCTGCTTTTACTTCAGTTCAAAAGTTTTCTTCTCCCCGGGCAGTGAAGAGAATTCTAGCAGATCGTCAACAACAGAAGATAGGAGGTTTGAGAGGTTCTAAGAGATAAGTGCTTGTGTTTCATCAGTTCTTTATTGTGAAGAAGAGAAAGATAATTCTTTTCTATAGTTTGATTGTAACATTTTATTTGTAAGACTATTATATTTTGATTTCTTTTCTAATCAAATGATTGTGTTGGTGTGTACAAGCATGAGTAGTGAGTATTTTTTCTATTTCTTACTTGAGATGGCTAAATAAGATGTTTTGGAGTAAGCGTTGTATGGAATAAATTATTTTGTGGTGATGATTAACTTTCTTAACCTTATTTACACTTCATCTTGGCCACGTGATGTGTTAAAAATTGTTGCGACTTATAAGCCTTGGAAAAGATTTAGGAATATAACCCATAGAGTGATGCAAATATATAGGAAGAATGTTGTGATTGAGTTAGTAATAGGATTTATGGGAACACACCTATGTCTAGCCAAACTTCTTTATGCTACTGGAAGGGGTAAAGAAGAGCCTTGCTCTTGTTTGGCACTATGTTTTCCTTTAGATGCTTTTACATTCAAGGGTCTTATTAAACCATTTCAAGGGAGAACCTTTAAGAACGTGAACCCTTCAATTTCTTTTTTGTTAATTTAAGATTATTTGTGCAGAACTTAGGTCAAACTAAAATTTCAGGCTAGGAATAATAACTATAGGCTAGAACTTTTACTATTAAAATTCATCTTATTCCCTGTGGGATCGACAATCAGAACTCTAATACCGATACTACTGATACGCCATGTATACTTGCATGATCCTCCCATGTTTTGTAGTGATTGCTACATGTCAAGTTTTTGGCGTCATTGCTTGGGAACGACGACGAATTTGAATTAGAAAAATTTTTGTTGAAATTTACAGTCTTAGATTTGGAAAACTGTAGAGTTCACTGTTTCTCATTCAATTAGTTTTGTTACTTTACTTGCAAAAAGTAAAAGTATTGGGTTTTAAAGTTTTTTGATTGTGTATTTGTATTTGGTTTAGTAATGTGTTTAAGTTATTTATTTTTGCTTGAATTGTCTGTTATTTTCATTAGCATAAATGGTATCTAGCTAGTCTATGTGTGGTTCAGGGTCTGCTAAACTTTTACCCTACGATTATGAGCTAGAATGAACTGTAAGAAAAATTAGAAAGTAAAAGAAACTCCAACAACTTTTAGGAGAAATGACGAATAATTCTTAGAATAACCAAGAAACCCATGAACATCAGGATACGACTAGGCTTTTAAGAGACTATACTAACCCTCGCCAGTTGAAATCCATCTTAGTATCCAAACCACTGTCGTAGGAGCCAATACTTTCGAATTGAAGCATGTTATTATCCACATGGAACATAACAATAAGTTTGGGGGAACACCATTCGAAGGTCAAAACTTACATTTAGCGAATTTTTAAGAACTTTGCACTACATTTCGCTATAATAATGTCTCCAATGACACTGTGAGATTAAGGCTTTTTCCTTTCTCTTTAGGGATAAATTTAAGAGGTGGTTAAATTCATTAGCCCCAAGATCAATTAGGATATGGAGTGAATTGACATAGTAATTCTTAACAAAGTATTTTCAATTTCAAAAATGGACAAACATAGGAATGATATAACTTCTTTCTACCAGCATGAAGGTGAATCTATCTATGAAGCTTAGGAAAGATTCAAAGAACTCCTCAGAAAGTGCCCTCACCATGCATTGCCTAATTGGTTGATAATTCACACTTCTTATAACGGGTTAATAGGAGCTCTTAGGTCGATTATAGATGTCGTCGCTGGTGGTTCGCTTATGTCGGAACCCTTTAATGAGGCTTACTCTTTGATTTAAGAGTTGTCAACCAATAATTTTTAATTGCCTTTTGGTATAGTGAACCCTAGGAGGGCAATCAGTGTACATAATACAAATGTTCTGTCAATTTGGACTTCTCAAGTAGTTGCGATCTCTAGAAAGCTAAATCAACTTAGAATAAACCAGCCACAAGGACCATTAGTAATAAAGGAGAATTCATTTGGACAATTGATTGATGTGAATGCTTCATCTCTTGAGACCTTGAATGTTATCAACAATAGGACAAAGAACCCATATTCCAATTTTTATAATCATGATTGGAAGAATCACCCTAATTTTAATTGGGATAATGACCAAGGGACATGAAATCAACAATGGGGGAATAATCAGTCTAATCCTTTTGAAAATTAGAACAATCAAGGTAGTACCAATTTGAGACCTTCTTACTCAATTGGCTTTAATTCAAACCAACAATTTAAGGTAAAGAAATTGTCTTTGGATGAAGTTGTATTGTAGATCAGGAATCAGCTGCGAGGTCATGGTGTAGCAACTACAAACATAGAAAACCAATTGGGGCAAGTAGCAAACCCTCTTAGTAACTGACCCCAAGGAACTCTACCTAGTAATACCAAAATTATCGAAAGGAGAAGGTTAATGAAATTGTGAAAGTGAATAAGTTGAGAAGTGAAAGTGAGTTGGAAGAAGTGAATAGAAAAGTGCAGAGGTGGTAGAAGAGAACCTTGAACATGAAAGATTTATAGAAGACTCTTCTAAAGATTCAGGAAGACTAGGCACGCCCATTAGGAATAACTTTGAAAGACACCCCCACCATTTCTCTAGAAACAAAATTGGATCAACAATTTTCTCATTTTTTGGAAGTATTTAAGAAGTTGAAAATTAATATTTTGTTTGCTAAGTCCTTGGAACATATGCATAGTTATGTGAAGTTCATGAAGGATAGTATTAATAGGAAGAGTAAGCTTGGTGATTTTGAGACAGTAGCACTTAGTGAGGAGTGTAGTGTTATTATTCAAAAAATACTTCCTTAAAAACTTAAGCATCCTAGTAGCTTTAGCATTCCTTGTGTTATTAGAGAGAGTCTTTTGGAAGGCTTTGTGCGATTTAGGTGCCAATATTAACCTCATATCATTGTTAATTTTTAAGAAATTAGGATTAGGAGAAGTGTCACCTATCACAGTGACCCTTCAGCTTGTTGATTGGTCTATTACTTACCATAGAGAGGTTATAGAGGATGTTTTTGTTAAGATAGATAAGTCTATCTTTCATGTTGATTTCATTGTATTAGATATGAAGGAAGATAAAGAGATGCCCATCATCTTAGGCAGACCTTTCCTAGCCACTGGTAGGGTTATGATTGATGTGTAGAAGGGAGAGTTGACTATGAGGGTAAATGATCAGGATATTTCTTTTAATATTTTAAAATCTATGAAATTCCCTCTGATTGTAATGAGGATTCAAGTCTTAGAATGGATCTAGTAGACCGACTGTGTTGCAACCAATTTCGAGAGTGTTGTGAAGTTAAACCTAGAGAGTTTAGTTTGACTGAGGATGATATAACTGACTTTAAGGAAAAATAAACTTTACTTAAAGAGATTAGTTCAAAGATTTATAGGGAGAGGTTTGAGTTGTTGGATACCACTAAAAATTCTAAACCTTTAGTTCCTTCTATAGAAGAACCACCTAAATTAGAGGTGAAATCCTTCCTAAATATCTGAAGTATGCTTACTTAGAGAAATCCTCTGCTTTGTTTGTTATCATATGCTCAAAACTTAGTAGATCTCGAGAGAAGAAATTGATGAGCCTTTTGAGGAATTTCAAGATAGCTTTTGAATAGATTTTAGCAGATATTAAAGGGATTAGTCCTTCGATATCCATGCATAGGATCCTTATGGAGGAAAATCATAAACTTAGGGCGGATCCTCAAAGCAGACTAAACCCTATTATGGAAGAAATTATTAGAAAGGAGATATTGAAGTGGTTAGATGTAGACATTATCTATCATATTTCAGATAGTGTTTGGGTTAGCCCTATCCATTGTTTACATGAAAAGGGGAGAATGATTGTAGTAGAGAATAAACAAACTCAACTAATACCTACTAGACATGTCACTGGGTGGCGAATATGCATTGATTATAGAAAATTAAATTTAGTTACTAGAAAAGACCATTTTCCCTTATCTTTTCTAAATAAATAGGCTAGTTGTTCATTCCTTTTTCAGCTTTTTAAATGGGTATTCAGGGTACTATTTGATTTCTATTGGTCCTGAGGTTTAGGATAAGACCACATTTTGAGCCCATATGAGACTTTTGCTTCTAGGAGGATGCCCTTTGGACTTTGTAATGTGTCTGTGATTTTTTAGCGTTGCATGATGTCTTTTTTGTGACTTAATTGAGAAAGGAATTGAAGTATTCATGGATGATTTCTCTATGTTTGGCCCTTCATTCGATTCTTGCTTAGATCATTTGGACAGAGTGTTTAAAAATGTGAAGAAAGCAATTAAGCTCTGAATTGATAAAAATGTCAATTTATGGTTTCAGAAAGAATTATTTTTGAACTTGTGATTTCTAAAAGGGGTGGTAGATCTAGCAAAAATACAAGTGATTAAGAAACTTTCTCCACCCACTTTTGTGAGGGAGGTTAAGAGTTTTTTTGGGCCATGTTGTGTTCTATCAGTGATTAGGATTTTTCCAAAATTTCCAAACCTTTATGTTATTTATTAGAAAAAAACCATCATATTTTATTTTTATCAAGATTTCCTAACTACCTTTAATACTTTAAATGAATAATTAGTCACTGCACCTATTATTGTTTCACCTGATTGGGAGAGTCCATTCAAATTATTGTGCAATACTAGTAATTATGCCATAGGGGTGGTTTTAGGACAAAGGTGTGGTAAGATGTTTAGGATTATATATTATGCTAGTAAGACCTTAAATGAGGCTCAAGTCAACCACACCATCACTGAAAAAGAGGTTCTGCTATAGTATATGTATTTGACAAATTCAGGTCATATTTGATTAGGACTAAGTGTACTGTTTATACCTACCATTCAACAATTTGATATCTTATGTCTAAAAAGGATGCAAAACCATGATTTATCAGGTGGGTTTTATTGACACAAGAATTTGATATCGAAGTGGTGGATAGCAAAGGGTTTGAGAATCAAATAGCGAATCATTTATCTAGACAAAACCAAGGAAATTCTTATGCTCTCGATGAAGATATTAATGAAAATTTTCCAGATGAATTGATTGGAACACTCCATGGTTGTGAACATAATGAACTATATTTTTATTGATATTTTATCTTATGATTTGTCATATCATTAGAAGA